TGTCGCGGGCAGCACTCTGTGCAGCATTCTCGGCATCTTTGAGGGCCCTCTCCTTGGCCGGTACTACAGCCCGTACTTGCTGAGCATATTCTTGTTTCATATTGACAGCCTCAAGGGATGGTCCGCTTTCGGACTCTAGCCGCTGCAAGGTTCGTTCTGCCTCCTTCTTCCGGTCTCTAGCTTTGCTGTGGTTTTCTCGTGCTTCTGAGTACTTGGCGAAGACCAAGGCTGACTGCAGGTTCTCGACTTTTTCTTGGATTTCTTCTCTTTCGCGGATTCTATCCACATCTGCTTGAAGACCTTGCTGGCGATTCTCCAAGATTCTCAGTGCATCGACGTCAGAGTGGACGGCGTCGGCTAACCCCTTCTTTTCCTTGTGCATTTCTTGCAGCTGGCTCTGCCACAGGAGCATTTCTTCCGGAGCTGCAGCACGAAGAGTCTCGTGCAGAAGGTCAACGGGCGTACAGGCGGCGAATTCAACGACGCGGTCCTGGGGCAGGAACTGGCACAAATTGTCGACCTGGATCTTCATTGACTTCATCAGCTCCTGTATTTTCTTATGGCTCGTTTCTTTTCCGTTTAACCACCACTTTTGGCTGTTTTGTTCGCGACGGATCTGCACTTTGATGACGTAGTTGCTGCGGTCCCTGGGCTTCTTCTGCAGTTCGATCTCGATGGTTGCTATGTCCTTTCCGTGCTTGACAAACTCCTTGACGGATCCTGCGCGTCCCAGGTGTTTCGGGCTATAGCCCAGACCAAGACAAATGGCGCACACGAGCGAGCTCTTGCCAGTACCATTGGGGCCGATGACCATGTTTAGATGTGGTCCCGGAAAGAACTCTGCCTTTTCGTAAGTGACGAAATTTTGAACCGACACACGCACAATGGCACCAGGTTGAAAATCCTGCATGATGTCACCGTTCGATACGCCATTCACCAGTCCTGCACTCGGGGCCGATGGTCCAGTATCTCCATCCGAGTCTGATTCGGAATCAAGCCGTCGCCGCTTGGACGAATCGGAGGCTTGCGACCCAAAGCCATTCCAGACATCGCCGCTATCCTCTGCGTCTCCTGTATCAGAGCGCCTGCGACGACGTGACGTAAGGCGCGGCATGGCGCCTCGAGGGGAAGAGATTCTTGCAGTTCGGCCCCGTATGGATGTGCGATGAAGCGCCACTATTCAGGAAACTCATGAAATCGACTTTTGGAGACGCGTGAGCACGCGGTGTTCACCCCCACCAAGTGTTGGCGGGCTTGGAGGGAAAGTGGGGCAGATGGACCCCTGTTTCGCCTGTAAGCATCATTGTAGATATGTACCTCCCTGGCATCTAAAAGCTCTCACTTACATGACTTGAGAAGCTGTTAGATTCGGCCAGAATCTTCTCAACTTCGTCCGAGAGAGGCTTCACAACGATGGCAATGGAGCTCTAGCGTCTGAGGTGCAATGTCGGGCGAAAAAGTGTGAGCACTACACGCGGTATTGGAAGGAACACGAGCTTTATGAGACCATGGAGGACAAGCTCCTTGCCAAGTCACAAAAGCCTTGAAAGAATGATGAAGTCGGCCGTAGGATTAATATACCAGTATATATCTGGCATAGCCCTTGAAGTGGAATTTGAAGCCCTGCTCGGAGCAAGCGGTAACCCGTAGCCAAGTTCAGTTCTTTCCACGGCGCGAGAACTCACTCCTTTATTTCTTTTTTTTTTTTTTTCTTTTTTTCGCTAAGCAAGTGTCCTGACCGCTACAGACAAAAAAATCACCACACTCGGTGCCATGAACCGTATTACTACTTACTATATTAAATTGCTTATTGTTTCCATCTTCGAGTCAAATAAAATTACAAGTATTAAGAGGTTGGTTGTATAAAAGAAAATAAATAAAAAAGTAAGCCAAGGCTGCCACAAGACTGCCAAATAAATCTGTATTAGTTTACCCTCATTCCGGAGACCGTCATACGGTAGGAGGCAAAAAGAGCTGTAACAGATGCGTAATCTGGGAATCGAACCCAGGGCTCCCCGACGTTGCTCGGATGGCAACGGGGAATTTTACCACTAAACCAATTACGCTTGCTTGTTGTTGAAAATCCTTTGTCTAATTTGTACTTAATAATGTTCTCTCATTTAGTTTCCGGAGCTAAGCCAACCTCGATCAAGCTTGAGTGACTTTCTCCGCAGAACTGTCGGCTCCCTGGACTCGGTTGCGGCCCAGAGGTCAATGGCCACATTAAATTCGAAAATCATAGTTCCTCTTTATGTACCTCTTTTGTCATCATGCCGCCCTTCTCTGTAAGTGTCTGACTGCTTTGTTGCCTGCTTATGTAAGTTTGCATGAGCACAGTCGTGGATACCTGAGATACCTAGTACTCGACTCGCTTCTCTTATCGCGCTGGAAACTCACAATAAGCACAATATTTTGGCAAGTATAGTGAACTTCGAAAAATACCAGACACCAAGATTACAGAGGCCTACCCCATTCCAGGAAGTGCTCACACGATAAGTTTGGGGTTAAACAAGGGATTAACTTGCGATGAGCGTGGTTACAGGGTAGGGGAAACGCCAGACAAAAGCTTGAAGCCACTAGGGGACTCGTCAATTGTTGTGCTGGGCCTCGTCCATCCCTTTACCAACACTACTGCGACATTACTGGCTGCAGTGCCCAAGGAGCAAGATATTGGGAAGAAGGAAATTGCGAATAGAACGGCTCTATATTCAAGCATAGCGCGCCATCACCCCGATCATCGTTATTTGAAAACCTGGAGAATGCGGGCAGCACGAAACCTGGTACGGGGACTGCGAACGATCCGAACACCTGGGACGGTGGAGCAAGTTACCAAATCATGGAGTAATGCAGACGTCTAGACATGGAGCAACGAATGGGAAAGACATTGGGCCTAATGTTGCGTCATGTGAGGACGTCAGCTCGAGTTAGAAGCATATCAAGCTAGGCTCACAGGGTTTAAACGTATTGGGGAATCAATCAAGCATCAAGGCTAGCTGTTGGCTTCGGTCCAACGATGAGCACGAACAGGCAGTGAAGCGGTGGTTTTACATCGGATCAGTCGTGCTTTGACAGCCGATAGTTGAGTGTATCGACATGGTTGTCTCAGCATGATGCTCCAACCCGTCCTCGAGGAACGGCAGCAATGGAGCTAGAGACATAGCAGCGGCAAAATAGAAGCATCATCGAAATGGGTAAGAGGACCATCAACCTGCGTTCATTTGGCCGTGTCGCCACACTTCGCGAGACCACCAGCTGGACGGGTGACATTTGATTGCCAATTCGACGAAGGCTTCTATTTGCGGATCTCGTGGTTCGTTTTTGTACGATGTTCAGAGCACACGGCTCCACACTCTTGGTCGTGGGATGTCGTGCCGTATTCTGGATCAAGGAGCGTCAAGTAATGGCCCAACGCTAGAGCTTTGATTGAGAGGCAGCCTGGCAGAGAGTGAGAGAGCGCGGCAAAATAAAAGCCACCACACCACCACGAGCCGCTGCTTAGTCATACCTGGGCTTGTCCCGAGTGCTGTTCATCTGGGGCAGCATCATCTCATCATCCCATCCCTTGAATTCCAGTCTCAAATTTGCCTTCGACAATGTGACTGCTATCCACACCCGCCGCGCTCCTTCGGGGGATAGCGCTCTCGCTGTCGAAAGGGTAGCAGTTGGCAACATTACTTTTGGTACTGCGTTGTTGACGGTTGATACCGGTGAGGGCACAAACAAACAAACATATTACCAAATTCGACACATCACCCGCCGAGCCCTGGCGACTTGATATTCGTCGGCTACCAAACCCTATTTTGGGTGCAAAAGGTGGCCGTTGGAATCTGTTCCTGTCACCAGGGAGAGTTTAAGGAAATTACAAGCTGCAATAGTATTGCAATTCTTGGCGGCGTTGGGATCTTCGGGCCCCATTATTGCCCACCGTACTGTACCTGCAATAATGGGGTACCTAGTACAATGTAGGAGGTGCCTGGCCTAGCAAGTAAGCCATCCGAACGAGACGCATCATTGGCTTCATCTTTTTTTTCTTGTTCTGTCCCGATTGCACCACTCATCGCCGCCGCCGGAGTGGCCAAGTAACAGCAGCAGCAGGCAAGCAAGTACGCTGGCAAAGTCAAGTGGTCGGGCAAGTCGGCAAGGCTGGACTTTTGCTGGCGGGATTCCATTTGTCGGCGCTGGCAACTGGAATGCGGCCAAGAATGGTGCGCCCAGTATGCCTTCCTGGCCACCATCGCCAATCCCCGTCATGATCTCGACTTTCGTTCTCTCATGCTTCTTAAACATTTCCCCACCCGCTAGGTTCTCGCAGTGCCGACAGCTGGCAGCACCACTTCGTTATTTCTATAGATGCCAGTCACTTGTCCCAGTCTGACCTCTTAAGTTCCAGTGCCAGCCAGTGCCAGCCAGTGCCAGCCAACTGACCATCCCGTCTCCCTTGCGCCATGGCATATCTGGTCCAAAACACCTGCCGCCACTTTCTCAAAGTAAACATTGCATTCCAGATTCCACGTCGGTGGAGAGGATTGCGCTTCCACTCTACGCCTCTGCCACTCCGTACATACTTCCACTTCAGCTCATGACCTAGACAGTGTCGCATTCTTGGTCCCCCGTCCTGTCCTCCAGTGCTCTGCTTCATCTACGTACTCGGCTCCATTGCCCTTTCTGCTCCTCCCAACCAGACGGTCCTCGACCTTTGTAGTTGTCCTTTTTTCTTCTCTTCTCTTTCCCTCTCTTTCTTTGCTGTCGTGTGCGCCACCGACACTTAACCTTCGCCTTCGTCGGGTTGATCTTGGCCCCTCTGGTTCCGACTTTCCACCGCGTTGCCTTCCATAAACTTCGTTTTCGACCTGTATTGTCTGCTATCATTAACAGCCAGCGCGACTGGGAGGAGGAAAAAACAAGCATCACCGCCAACGGCCAGAAACACGACGTCGACGAACTGAAATAGCTAACCCCGAATATTATGTGCTAATTCCTACGACATCACCAACACCAACATGGCGGATGCGATGGTTGCCAAGGTTCGCTCGCCCTTGGCCGAGACGACGAACCGAATGAACTCCCCGATCCCTGTGTTGGAACAGCAGTCAAACAAGCTGCCGCGTTACGCCCAGTCCGAAGTGGCTCATCCCCAGCATAACCAACCGGCGTCACATACGAGACCAGAAAGCCGGCAAGCTATGGCTCCAGCAAACATCACTCTCAACACCCAAATGTCTGGTGTAATACAGCATCCGTATCCGCAGCCTGCAGAGGCCGATAAGCGAATGTCCCAAGCTTCGTATGCTTCAACCTCGAGCAGTCGAAGCAAGAAGAACTACAAGACGCATATTGGGCCTTGGCAGCTGGGACGAACGCTGGGCAAAGGCTCGTCAGCTCGCGTACGCCTCTGCCGACACAACATCACCAACCAACTTGCTGCCGTCAAAATTGTGAACAGAACGATGGCCTACTTGGTCCAAGATAGCTCCATGGCCGCTCTAAGCAAATGGGACAACAGTCTCCCTGACCAGATCAACGGAGAGATGCGCGTTCCCATGGCAATTGAGCGTGAAGTGGCAATTCTTAAACTTATCGAACACCCAAATATCATGAAACTGTACGACATATGGGAGAACCGCTCTGAAATGTCAGTTTTCTTCTCTTTCCACTCTCCACATTGCCGGTCAATATTCTCATCTGCTGACGTAAAACAGATATCTCATTCTCGAGTATATCGATCAGGGCGATCTCTTTACCTTTATCAACTCCAGAGGACGACTCCCTGAGGACCTTTCCATCCATTTCTTCCGACAGATGATGAGTGCCATTTCTTACTGCCATTCTTTCAATGTGTGCCATCGTGATCTAAAGCCCGAGAACATTCTCATCACTGCAGACTTGCAAATCAAGATTGCAGATTTTGGTATGGCTGCGCTTCACCAAACCGCTACACATCAGCTTGCCACGGCTTGCGGAAGCCCCCATTACGCTGCTCCAGAACTACTCAAAAACCGGCAATATCGTGGGGACCGGGCTGATATTTGGAGCATGGGCGTCATTCTCTACGCAATGCTGTCGGCCACCTTACCATTTGATGACCCTGACTTGCGGGTCATGATGGCCAAAACAAAGAAGGGACATTATGAGATGCCCAAGGGTCTCAGTCCCGAGGCTGAGGATCTGATACGACGAATGCTCCAGGTAAATCCTGAACGCCGAATTACCATGAAGGATATCTGGAGGCACCCCTTGGTTCAGAAATATAAGTACCTGGACGAATTCGGAGACAACACCGCCCAGTTGCCAGACACCCGAAAAGGTTTCCAGTATACGCCTGTAGCTAGAGCCAACATTGACCCCCAGCTCCTTCGACAACTTCGATCTATGTGGCACATGTTCAGTGAGCAGGATCTAATCCTCAACCTTACATCCGCAGAGTAAGTAGCAATCGGTGGCATCAACTCCCAACAAGTGTCCTCCCGTGTATGCATAACTAACAGAATATCGAACCTAGGCCAAATGACCAGAAGGCCTTTTATTGGTTGCTTTATAACTATCGGAACAAGCAGCTGGAAGACTTCAAGCCAGAATTGGCCCACTCCATGAGCGACTACCACCATCTCAAACCAGCTATTTGGAAGAGGCGTGTCTCAACCTGCCAATTTGAGAAACCCAGAGCAAATGGACACGGGCGTTCTATTTCGCGCTTCACAGTGATATCCAACGCCCCCGATACAGAAAATGACAACTATGATCCATACCGCAGCAGTCGCATGCTACAACAATGCGACACGCAAGTCAGCCATGCAAAGATTACTGTGCATCGTGATGGCGAGGTTGTTACCACAACTGCAACTGGACAAACTAATAGAATGCGCAGCGGCTCCAACACCCGTCGTGTGCGGGCAAACTCAACAAGAGCCTCGCTTACGAGTCGGCCACAATCCTCTCGTGGATCACTTGCTTCACTTCGAAGTAGTCGACAAGGAACTCCCAAGATACGGGTGCCTAGTCTCCGCCACAAACGAGGTGTAGACTTCTCTCATATCCGCAAGGGATCCGGTTCTACTGGACCTGGTCCGCGGGCAGCCAATCTCAATACTGGATCTCCTATGGTTGTTGTTGGTAACGGAACGGTTCAACGAGTATCGGCACCGGCCGGCCGATGTGCAAGTCCAGACTTGGCTAAAAAAGCTGATGGCACGTACCCTAAGGCTATGGGCAGCCCTGACAATAAATCTCCGAAGAAACACGGTGCTTCTATGATTTTCCATGAAGAGCTGCGCAAATTCAGCAACACCTGCGCCAAGGACTGCGACGAGGCATTCAAGACCTCCCTTATCGTTTACGATTCAGAGTGCGACTCGTCGACTACCGAGGGTGACCGTAGACACCGGGAATCCAACCCGTTCTCAGTATCCCTCGATAGCCCAACGACGACCATCTCCCCAGTGACTGACGCATCCAGCGACTCATGGAACAGCCGTCCTTTACCTCCACTACCCAAGGTCGTCAGCACGCAGACTCAAGCCACAGTATCAGAGAGGACTAACGCGCGTCGAATCTCACCGGACAGAGATTCTGCCAAGAATGGGGACGCGGAAGCAGTCAGTAAAGTTCCTGCTCTCCCAAGACAGGTTGACCGCCGGGCTGTCTCAGCTCCGGTTTACACCCAGACACATAGAAAGCTTTCTACGCTGCCTTCGATAAATGAAAATGCTGGACTTCACGGCGATGGAGCTCGTATTGTGTCCGCTCCACCACAGAGCCCTGTGAGACGAGCAAATGAGAAGAACAGTAGTATGGACTATCTTAGCAGGGTTGAACGTACTATTCGGGTTGTCAACTCACCCACCCCTGGAAACCCGCACAGATCCTCGAGCCTCGTTGATACCCAGTCGGCGAACAGAGATGGAGGCTCTCGGCATCCCCTTCATCAGCAGCTCTCCTACGATGATATGGAATACGATGATCATGTCTACAATGTGGAATCCGCCCCCAAGAAGAAGAAGTCATCTTGGTTTAAGCGAGTCTCTAGAGCAGAATCCAGCACCGGTTCCAGCGACAGCGGAGCACGCCGGGCAAGCAGTTCCACAGACTCCAAGCAACATCGTTCCGACGAGGAGTCTAGTGAACAAAGCAAGAAGAGAAACTTTACCTTTCCATTTTGGAAGAGCAACAAGGGCAAGGAAACTGGTATGACTATTGAAGGTACTACTGACGCCGATTTTCTCTTTTTAATCGAGCCCCATGGAGACTAACCGATGTACAGGTCTGGAGGATGTGCCTGAAAAGCAGCAAGAGTCGGGCCGGGCAGTCGTGCGAAAGCGACGATCCGGCGTGGCTGGATCAAGCTCGGGTGGCACCCGGCATATTGAAGTCAAGCAGAATTGGCTTACGCGCCTATTCCGCGTCAAGCCAGCGACTGGCTATCTTTGCATGACCTTGACCTGCCAGCGAGCTCGCCAGGAGGTTGTGATTTTGTTGCGCGATTGGCGGCGTTATGGCATAAGAATTGCGCAGGTTGACAAGCAGCGCAACATCGTCTTTGGAAGACTGAGAGCTAAGAACTGTAGGTTCCTCACTGGTTGGTAGGACATTGGGGAAGCACAGCTGACCGAAGTAACTAGACTTGAATTTGAGAGAAGTCGAATTTGCTGCGGAGATCATGAAGGTGATTGAGCATGGCAAGAAGCAGCCACTTTGCATTGTCCGATTCACCCAAGAACGCGGCGCGGCAAGCACTTTGCATCGCATTGTTCACACGATGAAGGTTATGTTTGAGAGCCGACACCTGTTGGTTACTGACAAAAGTAAGAAGAAGATGATGATCAATACGCTCAACTCACACGAAGCAAAAACCACCAACTTATGACTAATAACGACAACATAATACTCATTGATATCAAACCTGTAATGAAGAAGGGAGGATGTTCCTCTGTGGGTAAATGGTAATTTTGAACCCCAAAGAGCAAACAGAATATGAATATGGCGAACAGGCAACGGCTATTATTGGATTTGCGATTTCCCTCTTGGCTCGTTTGTCGGACACAAACAGGCTTTTTATTGCTCGGTCTTTTTTTTTTTCCTTCTTACTGTCCGTTTTGGCTTGTAGGGAAGGCGTTTGGATTGCGGACCGTAGGAAAGTCAAGGGAGATGGGTGTACTTGCTAATCAGGCACATATTATTTTTGTCATTCGATGTTTCACGGCGAGATGCTGTGACAACGGGGAAAGTGTTTTCTTGCATGGCTGAACAAGGTTTCGGGGAGGAATGGAGTTGATGCTGTTTATCAGTGTATGTATTAGAGTAATTGGCATTGCTTCAGCTGAAGTGTATTCAAGTGTATTCTTTTGTCGGACTAAATGAAGAAAAGAATCATCAAGGACCTGGCACGTGGTGGGTGACGGAGAGAAGTGTCATGACGACTGTTTTTAGTAATGGACATGGTTAATTGGGGTTAAGTGGCATGCACGTCACTGGATCCGGCATGGGTGGTATTAATGGATGTCGAGACCAAGAGGCACCATCATGACAAATTGGTGGCGGGACGGTGGTATGTGTTGACTTGGTGTGTGAGTGCAACGACGGCCGGGCGGCGGCACGACAGAAAAGCATTGATGTTTCTCTGTTGCTGCTGCGATCATGGAACCCTGCCAAGTCACCGAGGATGCAAGGATGAGTAGGCATCAAGCCTGCTTATACGTACATGGACATGAATCAATGGATGCAACTTTGAAGGAAGGCAGAGCTACCGGGACGACGAAGCTGCAAAGAACATTTGTGTGAAGGCATACGGACATGACGGCGGGTCAGTCATCGGTGGCCCCATTGAAGGCCGGAAAGACTCGGGGCACGGCGGCACAGCAGGCCATGGCGTCTGGACTCTGGAGTCCCCATTCGAAGCCTCGGTTTAAAATCGTCCTTTGTCGGCCGTGGGGATGTTTGCCCTTTTTGGATCGTGGTCCCTCGCGAACACACACCTTGGTTCGATGGATCGGTGGCAGGGCATTGGCTGGCCGGTTCGGATGTGGGAGGCGCCTCCAGATGTCTGGTTCCGACAGCTACACTAGGTACCTAGGTAAGTAAAGTACGAACGTCACCGTGTACTGCTGGTACGATAGGACTGACGGTGGGATGACCGAGGCGTAGCTTGAGGGCGGGTGCGGAGGATGTGTAGTTATTAGTTATTAGTTATTCAAGGGGGAGGGAGGGATAGATGGGTTCGGTAGAGATGACGAAGTTGAGAATCAAGAAGTGGTAAAACTCGGTTAAGTCAATCGGTCATGTCGTGGCTTGGAGTGTCCATGTCCAGATCGGCCAGGCCCGTTGGCAGCGGCGTGGCAGGCTGGAGGTTGCACGCGCGCCGCCGGCCGGCGAAGGGGCGCTGGAGCATGGGGAGCTCCCAGAGCTCAGTGAAGAGTGCGCTGGGCCGAGACTGGGCCGTTTTGCTGGGCTACCCCGCGTTGGCTCCGGTGGGGTGGCGCCCTGCGTGGGACCGGAGGTATGGGCGATCGCGGAGCAGGTCCCGCGGACGTGGGAGAAGCATGGCCGCGGTACCTGCATTTGTTGCGTGTGTACTTGGCCACCTGCGTCCGATGCGTCCCCACCACGGCCAAGGCTGGAGAGACGGTCGAACTGGTAGCACAAAGCAGCCATTGACCTCCGTCAACTGTCACTCATGGTCAAGGCCAATGCCGCAGTGCTCCCTACTTACGTATCAGATATGCTCATCCATGCCCTCCCAGGTGTTTAAGATTCGCCTCTGAATTGCATGTATGTTTCTGTTTTATCTCCGTACCTCCGAGCGCAGACCGATGGTGGCCGAGAAGCGGATGGGCATCGTGAGAACCGTAGCCGCGGTCTGCAAGCTTCAATGAATAAACCCCCTTCTATCGTGGGCGCATACGCGCGTGGGAGCTAAATATAAGAAAGGCCAGAGCTGTAGTACATTCCCCTCTCCCCGATTGACGTATTATTCTTCTTTTTTTGGTGATTTTCGGCCTCCCCCCCTCTCCCCCTCTTCCATAAAACGAACAACTAAAGCTATCCCGATTGTGACCAATCTGATTCCATCGCCAGCGTGACGTGAGGCAACGACAGGCATTCATCTCTACCGTTTTGAACCGCAACGGCCGTACGAGGTGGGTTCCATTTATTCTTATTTCATTTATTTTATTTCCCTATGGACCGGCGCTCCCATCATACCCGTCCGCCTGCGCGCTCGGGTGTGGATGGAACCACTAGCTCCGTCGTCGTTGACACGTGAAAAGCCATGCAGATCCGGAGACGACATACATGGCTGTGACGAAACTACATTTCGGCAATTCTCGCCCGACACACCTCTCGTCTTCACCTTTTTTTTTTTTTTTTGAACGCACCCTCTTCCCATCCTCCATCTCAACACCTTCAAAAGACGTTGGTTTTTTTTTTTTTTCGTTCGGATTAGGCCTTGCTTCTCACCATCCGCTGAGCCGGCTTCACCCAGTCCCCAATCACTCACATCACCGGCCCTTCGGCTAACCTCTGCAAAAGACACGCACATCAGGAAACCGCAATGGCTGCCACCGACACCATCCTCCAGGGCGTCTCCGTCACCGGCAAGGTTGGCGAGGCGCACCGCAAGATCCTGACGCCCCCGGCGCTCGCGTTCCTTGCCCTCCTGCACCGCTCCTTCAACGGCACCCGCAAGCAGCTGCTGGAGCGCCGCAAGATCCGCCAGGCCGAGATTGACCGCGGCGTCTTGCCCGACTTCCTGCCCGAGACGAAGCACATTCGTGAGAATCCGACCTGGAAGGGAGCGCCGCCCGCGCCGGGCCTGGTTGATCGCCGCGTGGAGATTACCGGGCCTACCGACCGGAAGATGGTTGTGAATGCGTTGAATGCCGACGTGTATACGTATATGGCTGATTTTGAGGGTGAGTTTTTTTTTTTTTTTTTTTTTATGTAAATGCAACGACTTGTCTCTGTTGACCCTTGCTTGGGGTCTTTTCTTTTGTCAACAGCAATTTCAGGCAGCTCCGAGCAGCTCGAGTCGTTCCTGCCTGCTTCGTCGGCTTATCCAACCGAATGGAATGATATGCCGAGGATCATGTGGAACCCCTGCCGAGCTTGATGCCGAGACCAAACGACATCAGCGACAACGGGCTAACATGCTTCACAGACTCCAGCGCCCCGACCTGGGAGAACATGATCAATGGCCAGGTCAACCTGTACGACGCCAACCGCCGCCAGGTCGACTTCAAGCAGGGCCAGAAGGAGTACAAGCTCCGCACCGACAGGAAGCTGCCCACGCTCATCGTCCGCCCTCGCGGCTGGCACCTCGACGAGAAGCACGTCACCGTCGACGGCGAGCCCATCTCGGGCGGCCTCTTCGACTTTGGCCTGTACTTCTTCCACAATGCCGTCGAGCTGCAGCGCCGCGGCTACGGCCCGTACTTTTACCTCCCCAAGATGGAGAGCCACCTCGAGGCCCGCCTCTGGAACGACGTCTTCAACCTGGCCCAGGACTACATCGGCATGCCGCGCGGCACCATCCGCGGCACCGTGCTCATCGAGACCATCCTGGCCGCCTTTGAGATGGACGAGATCATCTACGAGCTGCGCGACCACAGCTCCGGCCTCAACTGCGGCCGCTGGGACTACATCTTCAGCACCATCAAGAAGTTCCGCCAGAACCCCAACTTTGTCCTGCCCGACCGCTCGTGCGTCACCATGACGGTGCCCTTCATGGACGCCTACGTCAAGCTGCTCATCCAGACCTGCCACAAGCGCGGCGTCCACGCCATGGGCGGCATGGCCGCCCAGATCCCCATCAAGGACGACAAGAAGGCCAACGACGTGGCCATGGACAACGTCCGCGCCGACAAGCTGCGCGAGGTCCGCGCCGGCCACGACGGCACCTGGGTCGCCCACCCGGCCCTGGCCTCCATCGCCACCGACATCTTCAACAAGCACATGCCCACCCCGAACCAGCTGTTTGTGCGCCGCGAGGACGTCCAGATTGGCCAGAACGACCTCCTCAACATGAACGTCCCCGGCAGCATCACCGAGGACGGCATCCGCAAGAACCTCAACATTGGCCTGGGCTACATGGAGGCCTGGATCCGCGGCGTAGGCTGCGTGCCCATCAACTACCTGATGTACGTGCTCCTCTCTCTCTCTCTCTGTCTCTTGTCTCCGTAGTACCGGCACGAATACCCGCTAACACAACCGCCACGCAGGGAGGACGCCGCCACCGCAGAAGTCTCCCGCTCCCAAGTATGGCAGTGGGTGAGGCACGGCGTCTCAACCGCCGAGGGCAAGCGCATCGACAAGGCCTACGCCCTCAAGCTCCTCAAGGAGCAGGCCGACGAGCTGGCCTCCAAGGCCGGCAAGGGCAACAAGTACCACCTTGCCGCGCAGTACTTTGCCGGCCAAGTCACTGGCGAGGACTATGCCGATTTCCTGACAACGTATGTTTTTGAAAACTTGCCCCTCCTCCCCCTTTTCCCCCTTTTATTTGGGCCCCCCCTAGTCCGGCTGTGCCCCCAAGTTCCGTACTTTTGTCATTTCTTTTGCTCTGCATGTTACCAGTATCATGGGAGTGGGAAATATGACTTGAAAAAGACGTCACCTTGGGGGCAATCTGGTCGTTTGCTACTGCCGCTGTGTCACACTATTGAATTGAGGCTAAATCGTGAAACAGGTTGCTCTACAATGAAATCACGCAGGTTGGCACCCCTAGTCCCGCTTCTAAGCTGTAATTAGAGATTTGAAAAAGAAAAAAAAAACATGGGCAATGACACGGGTTTACCGAGTGACGGCTTGGAAATGGAAAGACTGCAGTTGGACAGGAATTGATGTATTTTTGTGACCCTATTTTGAGCAGCCTAT